GTATAGAACTCAAATCTTTCATTTCAAGCTGTCTAGCCAACTCTCTCTCCAAAACTGAAATACCATCAATATCATCACCAGTAATAATCATATCACCAATATATAAAGATAGAATGATACGACCTGTATTAGTGCTCCTAACAAAAAGAGCAGAATCATGAATACTAGAAGCAAATCCAAGGGAAGAGATCACAACAGAAAATTTCTCAAACCAAGCACGAGGTGCTATTTTGAGACCATACAACGCTTTCTTGAGCTTGCAAACATATCTAGAATCATGTGAAACACCAGGAGGGGGTGCCATATAAACCTCTTCTTGAAGATCTCCATTCAGGAAAGCATTTTTAACATCAAGTTGAGAGATACGCCACTGACAAACCGAAGCTACTACAATAAGAGTACGAATAGTAGTCATTTTTGCAACAGGAGCAAATGTCTCCTCATAATCCATACCATACTGTTGAGAGTATCCCTTTGCAACCAACCTAGCTTTGTATCGCTCAATTGACCCATCAGAATTAGTCTTGATCTTATACACCCAACGACAACCAACAACACCCTTACTAAAGGAACCAAATCCCAAGTACCAGTCTTATGGAAAGCAGAAAGTTCCCCATCCATAGCTTGCTGCCAAAGAGGATCAAGAATTGCCTCTTTATAGGAAGATGGCTCAGAGAGACGATGAATAGAAGCTAAAAAGGTAGAAAAGGATGAAGAATAACAAGAATAAGCAAAATCTAGTAACTTTGTAGACTTACGAATGCGTATGGATTGATGTAGAGGCGGATCCACAATCTCAGACGGAGCTTGAGGGACCATAGGAGAAGAGGACGCTTCAGGTGTACCGGAGAGTAAAGTGTCAGTACCTGCGGAATAATTAGTACAAGTTGGTTGTAAAGACAACGGGGTAGGAACATGAGAATGGACATTTGAAGTGGTAGGCTCCTGAGAAGACAAACTATCAGGATTGTTAGAAAAATGATCTATATGAATAAGATCAGATCTAGTCAGACTATGAGTAGTGGATGGAATAGAAAAGAAAGGTATATGCTCGAGAAAAACAACATGACAAGATACATAAAGTTTCTGAGTTATTGGATCAAAACAACGATACCCCTTTTTACCTTCACCATAACCAAGAAAGACAAAAATTGCAGATCGAGATGACAACTTGTTGCGTTCTACATGAGGACGAAGAACGAAACAAGTACAACCAAAAACTCTAAAGAGAGAATAATCAGGGTTATACCTATACAACTTTTCGAAAGGAGAAAACCCTGAAATATGAAAAGATGGAATTATATTAATCAAACCTACAGCAGTAAGAAGAGCTTCACCCCAAAACACACTAGGGACAGATGCAGACAACAAGAGAGAACGAGCAGTTTCAACAATGTGCCTATGTTTTCTTCCAGCAACACCATTTTGCTCAGGAATATCTGTACAGAAAGTTTGGTGAATAGTTCCATCTAAAGCAAGCCGCTCACAAAATTTATTAGAAGTGTATTCCCTACCCAAATCACACCTAAAACATTTGATAACAATAGAATGTTGAGTTTTAACAAGAGCACAAAAGGCTAGGTATATCTCAAAAAATTCAGAACGATGTTTCATTAAATAAACCCAACAATAACGAGTGTGATCATCAATAAAAGAAACATAATATCGAGACCCTCCTTTTGTGGCAACAGGAGAAGGCCCCCATATATCAGAATGAATCAAATCAAATGGAGAAGAAGAAACATAAATACTTCGATTAAAAGGTAAAGCTGAAAATTTTGCCAGTTTGCATCCACTACAATCAGAAATATCACAAGTGTGTAAATTTCATAAAACCCCTGTAGAAGGTAAAAATCTCAAACGAGACGACGAAACATGACCTAAATGAGAATGCCATAAATAAAAACTAGAAGAAGAAGGACTCAAACGAAACGAAGACAAATCAACACTAGTAGCGGCAGCAGCAACTGGCACTTTTAGCTCATCCAAAATGTATAGTCTACCCTTCCTACGGCCTGTCCCAATCAGCTTCTGAGACTGCAGATCCTGCACATAACAAGAAGAAGAGGAAAATGTGACTAAATTACCAGAATCACATAACTGACCAACATAAGCAAGATTTAATGTGAGTTTCGAAATATGATAAACATTAGGGAGGGACAAGTGAGGTGTGACAACAGAACCAACACCTGCTAATGGTATATGAATGCCATTAGCAGTCATGACAGCAATAGAGGACGAAGGGGACACAGAAGCAAAAGACGAAGAATCTGAAGACATTTGATGTGAAGCACCAGAATCCAAGACCCATACAGAATGTGACATACCTGAAGAACTATGAGGTAACTGACTTATGGAAGAAGCAGACATAGCTTGAGGCTGTAAGGAGAGAAACTTCTGAAATTGCTCAGCCAAAGTACTAGGATCAATGATAGGACCTGATGAAGCTACTGTTGCAGTATTAGATTCTGGTGGTCTATGAGCTTTAGATCGTGATTGGTTGCCAGGCTTCCAAGCTTGAGATTGTTGCTGTAATTGATTTGACTGTCTCAACTTAAGACACTGAACTTTCCAATGACCTTTATGCTTACAGAAATTGCACTCGTCAAAGGCAACCCTTGTGTAAGGCTTATTTTGATTATTACAGGATGGCTTAGAAGACACTGCTAATACAGAAGGCTTAGAAGCAGAAAGAATTCCATTTTCAGCATAAGACTTGAGACGTATTTCTTCAGCCAATAACTCACTGACAACTGAGTCAACAGAAGGAAGTGGAGAACGATGCAAAATTGAACCTCTGAGTCCTTCAAAATCATTGCGAAGTGCCGTTAAAAATTGTACCAACTGTTGCTGCTCTCTATGAGTAATATAGGCAGCACATGCCTTTAATTCTGTCGATTCTGTAAGGGCCAATTGATCCCAAAGTTCTGTCATAGCAGAGTAAAACTCCTGAATACTCATATTATTCTGATGAAGAGCTCGTATATCATTCTCCAATTGATACTGCTTTGCAAAATTTGACCGAGTGAATAATCTTTGCAAATGATCCCAAACCTCCTTTGCTGTCTCATACTTCGCCAACTCTCTACCTATGGAATGCTCCATAGAGTTGTTAATCCAAGTAATAATTTTTGAATTGTTTGATTTCCAGGCATCTATCAAAGCAGCATAACCCTCATTGGTATTCTCAGGTTTCACAGAAGTTCCACTAATGAATCCCCACATCTTTTTACCCTTAAGAAAATTTCTCATCACGTAACTCCAATACGAATAATTCTTTCCATCCAACCTCACACTCACAAACTGAAGGGAATCATCTCTTTCAGTAGCCATAATAAAAAAATAAAAGATTGCAAAAATACCAGATTTAACAGATTGCAGAAATACCAGAAATAATTTGACAGTTGGATTCGCGAAAGCTGTGTTTGAGATTAAGTTTTGTCCCATTAAATCTGGCTCTGATACCATGTTAAACAATCCAAAGAAAATAAAGAAGAAAAAGGAGAAGGCTAAGATTTCATTGATACTACGTAATTAATTGAATGCTAAAGATTGTTTAACCTAAATACAAAGAGAATATATATAGGCTAAACAAAGGAAACTAAAAAAGACTATTCTACCCTTAATAAAAATAAATAATCCTATATTTCTTAACAGGCTCCACGCTTGTTTATAAGTATAAATTATTTTCATAAATAAAGTCATTAATATTTATTATGTTAAAGAAAAGTCTAATCATGTTCCACATTTACTTCATCGGGACGGATTCGGACCAAGAAAGCTTGAAAATTTGTTTTGCCGATGCTGCAAATGGCTGAGTGTAATTCACTTGCTAATTTTGCAATTACTGTTGTTGGAGTTGGAATTGAGCCTGGATCCGAAGGATCTGATATGGGGTGAGGAGATTTAGTCCCTTGTATGGATGTTGAGACTGGGATTCACCATTTCCAATGAAAATAACCACCACCACCAACTTTTTGCCTTCTTCAAATTGCTCAAAATCCATACCCAAACACATCTTGGTTCATTCAAATCAAGGGTGGTGGGGATCGAACAAAGTGATGGGGGAGGTGTGTGGTGGATTTTTGTGATCGCGATGTTTGGCTATGAATTTTTGATAGAAGTTAATGAAATGTATTATTGAATAATTTTAAATTCAACGAAATGTGTAAATAAAATTAATTGTTGAATTTAACTTGAATTTTAATATGTTTTTTAAGCTACACCAAAAAGATAATAATATTTTGTATGATAAGAATTAGAGGACATATATTGATTTTAAAAATTCAAGTGACTAAAGATGTCAAATGTATTGAACTATATCAATCATACTATAGTGCCATTTTTGTTAACATATAGATATATATAATGTTACACGACAGTTTATTATTAGACTATTTTAAACACTATCATCATCACTATTCAATCATTTTCATCCATCTATACATCTGTCAAAGAAGATGTTAAAATTCATCTGATAAAATAGCATAATTTGAACTATATAGACTTGAAGAAAGCATCCAAAACGAAAGGCGTCCCCACTACAGCTTGACCTGTTACTGGGCTTGTCTTCATAATTGATTGGGGTTAGGTCGTTTGACAGAAATTGACCGTATATATGCATTTATATTTAAGAAAATTAAAATAATTATACAAACTATCATTATCGACCGCCAGGATTTGTCTAGTCCAACTTGACATGTCCAAGAGAAAGAGCACAAGAGAGATCGTATATTTAAAGACTCTCCGTTTGAGCCACATTAATAGGAGAATGATAATGAAAATTATAATCGTCACGGACCCTACACAAAAGATATATTTTCAAATATGGTGACCTGATGTGATAAATAATGATCATATTTTTCATTTTAATGAGTAAATAATGGAAAACAAATAGGGAATTAATAAAATTTTTAAAATTAAAAAAATTATTTTGAAGAAGTTTGCATAATTTTGAGAATGCTTTGTCTAGCTAAAATATTGAAAATATTTTATTTGAGTTGAAGAATTTTTAAAAAATTATATTAAAATAGCTTCATAAAAAATTTTCTATTAAAAAGTGAAACGAAACGAGGAAATGGGAAAAAATCGGTACATAATGGGCAGTGTACATGCGATGAATTTCAAAGTGGGTTCACTGATTTCCATCTATTCACACTACCTTTTAGTGTTTGGCTATACGTCGATTCGATTCGTTATTGATTATTGACCATGGCAACTCCTGGGAAGAAGGTGCTGCTGACCTCTAATGGCGATGAAATTTCGCTCAATATTGCGCGCCATTTAGCTCAGCGCGGTTGCCGGTAAATTCTTCTTGTAATTCTTGTTTTATGTAAGTAATGTAAATTTCGCTCAATATTTGCATACGTAATTTTAGGTTGGTGTTAATGGGGAATGAGGGGCAATTGAGGAGTGAAGCTGAGAAGTTAAAGAGATCTCTAGACTGCGGCGTAACGCTGGAGGTGGTAGATTTAGATATGGAAGAGGATAGAGAGGCGGTTTTCGATGAAGCGGTGGAAAAAGGCTGGAGGATTTTGGGGAATTTGGATGCTTTGGTCAACTGTTATTCCTATGAAGGTAAACGATTTTTTTTTTTCAATTTAATTTATTTATATTTTGTAGCTGAAATGTGAAGGAGGGAGTATCACCAAATATTATATGTTTGTAGGTTCAATTATTCTTTAAACTGTTTTGATTTGTCATTTGATTATTCAGCCTGGCTCGAATTTATATAATTATTAGTTAAACAAATTCTTTTGCCTATGTGGTGCATCTCTGTATGACAGAGAAATCTTCATGGATGCGCTTATACAGTGGATTGGTTAATTGTTTTGGATAGAATTGTGGGTTTCCATTACAATTGTAAATGTAATTCTGGTTATGTTGTACTCTGTAATTTCCTTTGTTTTCTATTTCTTCAGTTAGTTCCCTCCTATTTATTTCTTCTTTTTATTTGGAAAATCTATAATCATCAACTATCCGTAGCTATGGTAGTGTAGTGGTGTTTGACAAATATATATATATATATATATATATATGTATTTTTTCTTAAAATCTAATTGTACTGATTTTGATTGAATGATTTTTCTATTCTCAATATATGTTCAGGCTGACCAAATTGACCTAATTTCTAGGAGACAAAAGAAGCTTAGAAATGAATAAAACTTATGTGCTTTACTTAAATCGCGCAAAATATTGCCCGAGTTGATGAACCATCTACCCAATTCCCTTTTGACGGTCACTGGGCAATTCTTATCTCTTAAACAGAAAAATATCATTGGTTCAGCTTAATCTCAACTGATTTTGAATTTCATAAGTTTCTATATTCCTTGTCATTAAGGTATCGCTTATTCCCCTTACGAACTAAGTTCTGATTCTCTGATGCCAGAACCTTTGTTAACTTGTATAACCTTGTCAGACCCCGAGGCTTCAGCTGCTGGCCATTTGAAGCTTTCTTTGGCCCCATAGTTATCTGAAATTGTAACTGTACTTCTGAATAACACTGTGGTATCCTTGCCAATTCTTTGACTATAATTGGCCATTCTGTTTCTGAGTCTGCTCAACCAAATTTAATTTGAAATGAAAATGTATTTACTACTGAGTACCTGAATTTTTTAATTATATCTTTCTTCACTGCTGAGACATCAGCTAGTTTTACCTCTTCTCCTAAAAAACATGTCCTTGATATGTTTGTAAAGTTATATATCATCTTCCTATCTGATTTTCTGATCACCATAATTGGCTTTCATAATGTAATTTGGCTGAGCATCAAGAGTTTCTTTGATTCCATTGATTTTCAATTTCAAGCAGAATACTTTCTTCTTGAATGTTCACTTTGTTACATTACTCACAGAAAATGGGAACTGATTTCTGTTTCACCTCAACCCAGACCTCAGTTTATTTTATTACTTGTATATTTCTCTAAGGGAACATGTCCCATTGTTGTGACAATGAATAGGACTTGATGTGTCTAATGTCTACAAATCATTGATGGCAGTTCCTGACACTTAATTGAGGTTGCATTGGAACTAATACTATTTATAATATTTAGATGCTTAAGAGTTCAAAGGAGCTGTTTTTTGATATTTGATACCTGTACTGGATAATGGTGTTCAACGGTGTACAATATCAAATTGTAGTTAGATTGAATGTGAATTCAATCATCCAAGACTCATTACTTGGAGCACAATGCTATTATGATTAAATCCATGACTTGTTGCTCAACAGTGATCTACTCGTATTTACCTCCATATGCTGCTTATGGGAGCTGCAGTATGGTGGAAAGTGAGCAAAGCATAACCTCTAATTTTGTGAAACAGGGAAAATTGTAGATCCTCTGCGTTTAGTTGAAGACGAGTTCAAAAAGATTGTTAAAATCAATTTCATGGGGGCATGGTATCTTTTGAAAGCTGTTGGCCGAAGAATGCAAGATCAGAAATCTGGGGGATCCATTGTGTTTTTAACCTCCATAATTGGTGCTGAGAGAGGGATATATCCAGGAGCTGCAGCATATGGTTCATGTTTGGCTGGAGTGCAGCAACTAGTAAGGGTGAGTGAAATGATTTTTTGTCTGTATATTTTTCTGTTATGATGTTTATATTTACGATGGAAATTACTCATTATCACTAGGTTGTACGTTGTACTTAAGTACTTGAAGCGAGAGTTTTGAATTTAATTTCTTACATGCCCGCCCTTACAATGTTGTTTCTGAAGTAAACAAGAATTTTTGAGGTTCTCCAGGTTCTTCTTCTTTTAATATATTTTGAAGAATATTACAATAGATCACGACCAAAAACGCAATTTTCTGTGTTTAGCTTCTGTTGGCTAACTTTATAACATGATGTTTGTTGTCATTAGTTTGGCTATATCACAAGACAAACCGCTGACTAGTCCAAGAAACCATGTGGGGCTGCGACTGAAGCTTCTCGTGAGACCAGAATTAATCTTTAATCAAGTCATCTAGATGAAATTTTGAATGTGCAAATGTTAGTAATTATTAACTTCTATATTAGAGAATCTATATCGGTAAAGCCATGCCAATAGCTTCAACAAATAAGTGTCTTGTTGAAAACGACGTTTTTAAGGTCATTATTGTAGCTTGTTTCTCTTTTCCGCAAGAAGTCACTAAACAAACCGCTGAATTAGCGGAAACCATTTCGTTCACATGATAATCCATGGCCTAACAAGTATGGATTCCAGATACTTGATTGGAATAAACACATTGACAGCTGTTCAATTTTTTACCACTTGGTACGTACCTCAATTTAATTTTTGTGTTTTATTTATATGTTCTATTATTTACAGGCGGCTGCAATGGAGATTGGAAAGTATCAGATAAGGGTTAATGCAATTGCTCGTGGTTTGCATCTTAACGATGAATTTCCTGTATCAGTGGGGAAGGAGAGGGCAGAGAAATTGGTCGAGGAAGCAGCACCATTGCATCGATGGCTTGATGTTGAAAAAGACCTGGCATCGACTGTCATTTACTTAATCAGCAACGGGTCATGTTATCTGACAGGGACTACCATATTTGTTGATGGTGCACAATCTCTGGTGAGGCCTCGAATGCGATCATACATGTGATGTGTGCTGCTAAGATAATTCTTATATTGATTCGTAGACGTTGCAACTTGTAAGAATTTCGAGTCTAATAATCTAATTTAAAGGGTCAGGAACTGCTTATTTTGACTATGTTATTGTTTGATGTAAACATGGAGATGTATCTCTTAGCAGTTGAGAAAATTTCTGGTCCCATCCTCCGTACAATAGATTTTGATTTGGTATGCATGAAGAGCTTCAAGTGAGTTGGATGCTGTTCATATTATCACTGTTTTCTTTGAACCTTTTTGGATACAAACCTGCTGTGTGTACAGAGAAGGGGATCTCCCCTCCAGAACACACGCAGCAGGTGGTGCTGGTTTTTTTTTTTTTTTTTTTTGCACTATTATATTCACATGCAGGAGACATAGTCAGACTTTTGGTTTTGTGGGGGTCAAAATTTGAAAACAAAGTCTAAACTTGATATTGATAATAATTTCTTTTGAACAAACAACGTATATCTCTGCAAATTACAATCATTTGTCAACTAAAATATAAAAATGGAGGTTAAAACGCATAGTTCAATCTCACAACACATCAAAATTTCTATTGTGGACAGTGGACAAATTTAAAGGAAAAATGAGGCACAAACTAAAGTCTAGAAACTAGAGATTAATGAACAACTGGACAAGGGTACATATTAACATATATATGCTTTTCAAGTTTCAACAAACAGAAATACACTTGCATATCTCAAATTTAAAAATGAAAAGCAACTAACTAAAAAAAAAGGTCCAACTTAAAAGGAAAAACTAAAGTTATATCCAAATCCAATTAATACAGGTTTGCTAACCTAGATGGAACTTGGAAGAAGAACAAATGTCAAACAAGTAGAAGGTAAATTTGTTACCTAGATGGAAAAAAAAAATCACAAATTTAGCACAAGAAAAGAAAATCCCAAAATATGAATTACAATTTGACGATCTCTTTGTGTCGGTTGATTCTTCATTTTTTTTTTCTCTCTGTGGGACTTTAGGGCAATAGATAGTTGTTCTAGACTCCAAGTGCATATGAAATGATGAAAAAGCAAAGTCTTGGCAATGGGCAATTGGGCTTGGTATTGGGCTTGTGCAATTGGGTTTGCCAATGGGCAAAGTTGTGGTTAATTTAAATATTAGAAATAGAATAAAAGTTTGGGAACAAGTTTGAATAATTTACAGATTTCAAAAAAAAAAAAAAAAAGGAAAAAGGAAATTTTTGTGGGGTCAATTGACCCCACATGACCCCATGTGGGTCCATCTATGTTCACATGTAACCCATTCTCATGTGAATGTTCTGTATTATTTCTATGAAATAATTTCTGTACAAATGGAAAAACTGTTTTTCATATAACTTAGGGGATTTGAAGTTAGAGAGAACATATTTAATAAGAAAAAAAGGGCCATAGGAAAAGGTGAACGCCTTTCATAGCGAAAATTGGACAAAATCGTGAGTGAATATTTGTACACTTCTTTTGACGGATTTAGTATGAATTTGCTTCTTTTGTAGGCTGGAGGCTAATTTGCACTCCATCAAAAAGGGCTGCGGGCCAAATCCAATGGTGCATTTTTTCCAACAATTTTTCCTCCTGTATAAAAGCCGGGTTCACAGAACCTGATTAGATAACTCATGAACGATGGGCCTCACTTGAATAAAAAATAGCCAAAAATTAACCCACTCACCCCCATTATGTGTTTATCTATAAAGTACTTGTAAAGCACCTCCTGTACGCTTAGCATGGCTCTTTTTCCTAAAAATTTCGTTTCTTTTTTGTCTATTAACCAAATTGCCCCCCGTCCGACCAAGTACCAACTGGTTCGCTGGTAAGCTCGCTTAGGTTGCGGGGCATTTGGCCAGCCGTTTATTACATAATCAAAGTCAGCCCTTTGTGATAGAGGGAACCACTATTCTTTTTGGAATCCAGCAGCCAATGGTAAGCCCACTTCGTAATGTTAGATCATGCATGCTTTACATAAAGACATTTTTGCAAATCAAAGCTATGTTTGAACCACATTTTTTAAAAAAAAATATATTCTTAAATAATGATTTGACAACATTTCTTCAACACATTTTTCAATAAAATAATATTACACATAAATTTAGAATTTTTCTTTATTTTTTAACCACACATTTCTTATTAATACACTATTTAAAAATGTATTCTTTGAAATATAATGTAGCTCAAACAAGGGCTAAATAAAATAACCCCAAAATGCTCATACATTTTTTATTGGACTTTGCTATTTGTACATTCAGGGTTGACACCTCGAATGACACTCTCTCATAAGAGGGGGACTCACAATTATTTTATTACGTGTGGACTCCCCTCTCTTGTGAGAGGAGTGTCATCCGGGATGTCAACTCCGGATGTACAAATATCTTTATTATTTTTTATTTTGCAGACAACATTCAAAAAAATATTAGACCGTTCAATGTTGATTCTTGAAGACCAGCAGTGACTTGTGATGCGGTGCAGGACTTGAATAGATAATAATAAAATATTAAAAGGATTGAAATTTCAATTGGTACATAAATGTTTAGTCAAAGTGAAATCATGACAGATCATTGAAAATTGGTGCATTATAAAGAAGTCATTCAACAACGGCAATACCATGTTTGCGTAAAAGCATGACAGATCATTGAAAATTAGGTGCATTATGAAGAAGTCATTCAACAACGGCAACACCATGTTTGCGTAAAAGCAGCTTAAATTGTACATTTCATATATATTTTTGTACGTTCGAAAGCTTACCCAAACTTGATGTGGTGTGTTTAGTATTGATTTTCCATCTTAAAAAATCAATTTTTGATCGTTATTTCACTATTCAATCCGTTATTTTTTACCATTTCTCTCATAATTAGGACCTACTTTTCTCTCTAACGGTCAAAAACTAAATTCTCAAAATCACTACCAAACAAACTCGTAAGCTTTTATCTTTGACAACATTAAGCCCTTATTCGTGGGGATTAAAATTAGATTTATTATTATTATTATTATTATTATTATTATTATTATTATTATTATTATTTTGTAGATTTTGATAAATATTGATCAAACGTATGGTTGAAATGTTGTGGATTTTGTAAAATTTGTGATTAAAATTATTGTTGACTTAGATTTAAATTAAAATTTTGATTTATATCGATACCAAATAGGGGCATTCGATAATCTAGTCCAACGGTTTTGAGTCCTTTATTCGGTAATCTAATTTAATTATAAAATTTGTCGTTGGCATATCATCATATGTAGAGGAAGTGATGTGTATTTGTACACTTCTTTTGACGGATTTAGTATGAATTTGCTTCTTTTGTAGGCTGGAGGCTAATTTGCAACTCCATCAAAAGGGCTGGGGGCCAAATCCAATGGTGCATTTTTTCCAACAGTTTTTCCTCCTGTATAAAAGCCGGGTTCACATAACCTGATTAGATAACTCACGAACGATGGGCCCCACCTGAATAAAAAATAGCCAAAAATTAACCCACTCACCCCCATTATGTGTTTATCTATAAAGTACCTATAAAGCACCTCCTGTACGCCTAACATGGCTCTTTTTCCAAAAATTTTCCTTTTTTTTTGTCTATTAACCAAAATGCCCCCATCCGACCAAGTACCAACTGGTTCGCCGGTAGGCTCGCTTAGGTTGGGGGGCATTTGTCCAACCGTCTATTACATAATCAAAGCCAGTCCTTTATGATAGAGGGAACCACTATTCTTTTTGGAATCCAGCTAGCCAATGGTAAGCCCAACTCTTAGTGTTAGATCATGCGTGCTTTACATAAAGATATTTTTGAAAATTTAAGCTATGTTTGAGCCACATTTTTTCAAAAAAATATATTCTTAAACAATGATTTGACATTATTTCTACAACACATTTTTCAGTAAAATAATATTATACGCAAATTCAAAACTTTTCTTTATTTTTTAACCACACATTTCTCATTAATACACTATTTAAAAATGCATTCTTTAAAATATAATATAGCTCAAACAAGGGCTGAATAAAATAACCCCAAAATGCTCATACATTTTTTTATTTTCCAGACAACATTCAAAAAAATATTAGACCGTTGAATGTTGATTCTTGAAGACCAGCAGTGACTTGTGATGCAGTGCAGGACTTGAATAGATAATAACAAAATAAAATATTAAAAGGATTGAAATTTCAATTGGTACATAAATGTTTAGTCAAAGTGAAATCGTGACAGATCATTGAAAATTGGTGCATTATAAAGAAGTCATTCAACAACGGCAATACCATGTTTGCGTAAAAGCAGCTTAAATTGTACATTTCATATATATTTTTGTACGTTCAAAAGCTTACCCAAACTTGATGTGGTGTGTTTAGTATTGATTTTCCATCTTAAAAAATCAATTTTTGATCGTTATTTCACTATTCAATCCGTTATTTTTTACCATTTCTCTCAAAGTTAGGACCTACTTTCCTTTCTAACGATCAAAAAATAAATTCTCTAAATCACTACCAAACAAAATCGTAAGCTTTTATCTTTGACAACATTAAGCCCTTATTCGTGGGGATTAAAATTAGATTATTATTATTATTATTATTATTATTATTATTATTATTATTATTATTATTATTATTTTGTAGATTTTGATAAATATTGATCAAACGTATGGTTGAAATGTTGTGGATTTTATAAAATGTGTTATTAAAATTATTGTTGACTTAGACTTAAATTAAAATTTTGATTTATATCGATACCAAAATAGGGGCATTCGATAATCTAGTCCAACGGTTTTGAGTCCTTTATTCGGTAATCTAATTTAATTATAAAATTTGTCGTTGGCATATCATCATATGTAGAGGAGGTGTAACCTAACGCTAAAAATTGAAGTTTTAATGTATATTAAAATATTTTATAATTATTTATCAGTGTTGGAGTCAGTCATTCTTCATCATGAGTCAAAAATTAAGTTTTAAACAATTTTTCTAAACATCATTTTTCTCTTAGACATTCGTTTCACTAGTATTTTTCTAAGATTATTCATTAAATTATTTTTCGTACTTACCTGACATGAAATTCAACAAATAAATAAATGATAACCTATTTCAAATAAAAATTTCAACAATAAAAGCAAAATCAATTTCAATAGGCATATGGCAAAGTCTCAATATTCATCTTAGATCACATTAGAATTCAACAAATTCCATAAAAATAAAAATCCAACAATGATTCTAATATTCCAATTAAATTTAAACCCACC